CCCAGCACTGCCTGCAACATAACCACAACAAAGGAAGATGCAAACGCAAAATACCAACAGATTATGTTTTAAAAACTATAAAGAATATTGCTTGTAGGCAATTGGAACCCACAAGAGGTACCATGTAGATGATGAGGTTATGTTACAAAGGGGAAGAGTCAGACAGAAAAGGAAAAGAGATAGGCCCTAGACACAGCCATTTTAAAATACATGCGTATAGCAATGAACAAAGTCTAAGAAACAAACCTAAAACTTTTATTCAGTGTGGGCTCTCAACTTCATTTACCTGCATCAGTTCACATAATACACTGAATTCTGGTTGCAATAGGCAGATGTCCTTGCTTACCAAAAGCAGACTGTGAGAGCCTGAACCCAGAACTATCCACTCTCACCAGTACTCATAATTCATTACTTTCGTGAGTGCTAAATTCATTCAAAAACTTGGCAAGGAAACTGTGCTTTCTTGGGAGCATGGGAGGAGGGAAACAAAATGTATTTACCAAACTCTTCTCCTTGCTTGCTTTATTTAAAGCATATTTAATGAAAGAAAAAATAAAAAGATTACCTGGAAATTATCAATGTGAAGGCAAACTGTGTTTGCCTTAAAATAATTGAAAAATGGGTCCAGAATAGCAGCTACTGAAATGCCTTTTTTTCTGATCATGTCTTTCTGGCTTGCCTCAAATTTTAGGAGGTATCAACTCCATTCCCTCCTGACAGCCCTCATGAAAAAACAGGAGTGCTGAGATGATAAATATATATGTATATATATATGTAAATATATATATCTGGAAACAAATCACATAGAATAAGATGAGATAGGGCTGCTGTTAGTTAGTTTCCCATCTAACTGGCAGAGGTTGTGCTTTTCAACACCATTTCCCTGCCAGTGGGGCTCACCTCTCAAGAGTGGCTCAGCAAGGGTAAAGGAAGGCAGCTGCAAAACAGATTACAAGGGAGAAGAAGGCTCAAGTGGCCCACACTGATGCCTTCACTAAAGCTGCTGCCAAGCACAGGAGAAGCAGCAAAACTGATGTGAAAAGCAATATTGTTGTGGACCCGAGAGATGGGAATGCCATGAAGTGGAACTACCCATAAGTTCAGGGGGAAGAGGAAAAGGATAGCTAGATCAACTTCCAAAAAAGTTAGAATCACTGCTCTGAAAGAAAGGCAGCCAGGGCCCCAAGGTGTTTGCATTGCCATGGTCCATGTTGTAGAGGGCAAAAAAAATAAGAGAAGAAATATTTTCTCAATGCAGTACAGCTCAATCTTCCTCAAAATCCAAACAATACTTTTACAAACGTAACAGGAAAAAAAAAAGAATGAGAAAATGCTTTTGAGAATCTCACATTCTCCCTTGCCCATCCCACTCCATTTTCCATTCTGCCTGTGGTCAAAAACTAGCCAAATATATTTATTCATATTTGATAAATACAGAGCACAGAGAGCTCTGCTGCTCAGATCTGTCATGTCAGCCATCGCCAGGAGAAGATATAGGATAGTTGGAAACCCTTTTAATATAGAACTTATATTTGTTGTACTAATTAACAAGCATAGTGATGTCATTAGGCACTGCTATAGTCAGAAAACACTAGAGGTCAGTCATCCTTTTTGCGGTGCAAGTGTGTTTCAGTCTGATTATAAACAACAGCTGGATGTTACCAGCAAGGCAGGGATGAAAGGGAAGCATGTTTACATACTCAAGCATGAGGATGTCTCTACAAGACCAGAGCAGTCAAGCAGCATGTCCTCAGCAGTTTGGGTTTGGAATGAAAATAAGATCTATGTGCACTTGGACAGCTTAAGCATTTGGAGCAACAAAAGCAAGTGAGAAGTACTCCTCTACCCATGTATTTGTTTCTTTTAATTTATTAGCTGTGCTTGTTTAAAAATGAACATGAGATCTATGATACCACATGACTCGATCTTACTACGTGCCGTAGGAGAAGTGAGCGCACCAGTGGCGCGATACATTGCTGCGCCTCATGCAGAGAGATCGACTTGCTGCAAACAGAAAAATTTCTGCTGCTTCTGTTCAATACTTCTAAGTCTTCCACTGCACCTCCAAATAAGATCAGGCCTGCCTAACTCAGGGGTACAGCATGCAGACTGCACAAGACTGCAGCCAGCAAATGTGCAGTTCTTGCAGCTTCAAGAGACTTGCTCATTAGAGCATTTGCAGAGAGAAAGGTGATCCAATGTGGCTCTGACATAGTCAGACAACCCTAAGGAGGATGGTGGCAGGTCTCCTTCCCACACATGCTGCATTTTCTTTTCACCATGACAGTTTCTCAGACACCAAAGGCTTAGTTCCACTGCTCTGATCTTGCCTATCCCATAGAGCCTGCAATCAACTTCTGGAATGAAAAAACCGTAAGAGCTCAGTTGTTTTTACTCTTCTCTAATTGGCACCACGTATATTATACCAATAATTTCACTAGCAGATGATCTTTCTCTTCTGAAGGTTATTGCCTGCAGGATTAGGTCCTCACAGACTCTGCCTGGCAGAATGGAAAAGAAAATCATGACCCAATAAAGTAATTGCAGTAAAATGCAGTGCTTACATGCACAAGGAGAAGGGATTTTACGTCCTAGAGATGTGAGATTGCATCTTTCCACGAGAAAGCAAAGCAAAGCAGATTTAAAGTCATTTTGATTCACACAGGCTGACTTCACAGACACAATTTGTCAATCAGCTAAAGAGTGTGCCACAGGATTAAATCCTGGAGTCTTCAGAGTCAATTCTTCAATCCCATTGTTAGACAGCTAATTAAAACTGAATGCACCTCGTTCCATAATGGCAAGGTACTAATGAAGGGATACAATGCTCAGGACAAGTGAGGATACCCGCTGGTGGACACGGATTGGTTTTTCTGGGGACTCTCCCATTAGAAATTGGAGCCAGGATTCTTTGCCGATGCATATCAGTGTGGATCCAAATTTCTGTCCACTGCATTTCCAGATTTGGCCAGCTGCTAACAGCTGATGTCCTGCCTCCTCCCTACCAGGAACACCCCGGCTCTTCTCAGCACAGATCAATAACCAGTTCCTTTCTAAAGAACTTTCCCAAGGTCCAAGATCCACCCACTCAGACAACCCTCCCTGACTCCAGAAATGTTCTTAATGGATTCACAGAATATCCCAAGTTGGAAGGGACCCATAAGGGTCACCAAGTCCAACCCAAGTCCTCATGTTGAGCCATATGCCACAATATGCCACATCTGCATCTAAACACACCCCCAGCCAGCATGTACACCCCCTCTCAGCACCACATGCATTCTGACAAAGCACGAAAGCCACAAAGGACCTATAGCTCCAAAGATCTGGCACACCAATGTTACCCATATGAGGCAATCTCATTAAAAGCAGCTTTGCTGTTGCCTTTGCCACTAGTTCCTAGGAGTGAGGATGGTTTCTAAAACCAAGGGCTCAAAAAACTTTTACTGCAGCTTTTTGCCAATTGGTTTCTCTTTCAACCTCTTGAAGGCCATAAAGACTCAATCTGCAACTGAAGTAAAAGAGAATCTTCCCACTGGAACATAAATGCATGACTTTTGCTCTATTGGGTCCAATCTGCAGTGGAGCAGGACATGCAGTGCCTGAGCCAACATGCAAGACCTGTAGTCTGCTAAAAGAAAATATACGCTTTTCTGTCCACAACACAAAGGAGGAGGAGCTTGCTTACACAACCAGCTTTCTGCTGCTCGATGTGTCAGTAACTCTAAGCAAACCCTTTTGTCCTTTGCCATGATTTCCCCGAATAGAAGATGACCAATAACAGTAACCACCTCAGTAAAGTGCTCTCTGATCTTTTGAAGAGAAACAGGAATGCAGCATGCTGATAATTGAGAGTACACAAGGATGGTTTAGACGAGGAAATCACTCTGCAGAACATATCCCATGCCACCAAGAGAACCCATAAAACAAACAAACAAAACACCAAAACCACTAGATGCGTGCTAATGCATCTTCCACAAAGTCAAAATGCCTTTGGTCTCGACATCATTTAGCTCTGAAAACTGAATCCTGACTAACGATACCTTTTTCTTGTTGAAGACAGGGACATACTGGCTCCTGAGTGGCATTGGCATTTGCCCCACGCAGGCAGTGCAGGAGACCTGATGGGTCTAACAGTTCTCCCACCTGGGAACTAGCACAGCACAAACCTTGCTTATGGGCAAGAGTCACAAAGAGGCTTCAGGATTTCATAGCACCACATCCCACCTATAACCCAGGAGGCACTGGGTAGCACAGTGCGCGTAAGTCCAACAGTTACCTCCTGTATTTTAACTCCTGGCTGTTCAGCCAAAGCAGTGCACTGAGCAAATGAGTTCATACTATTTGAGAACCACCTGTGGGTGCACCTACACACGCAGGCTTCATTCTACTTGTCACAACGTGTCCATGGATGTGAGTTTACCCAGACCCTCAGGCCATATCTGAATTAGAACCACATGGTATTACAGAAAAGTGTTTGCCAGCATATTTTAATATATATAACAACTCAAACACAGGTTTAGACAGCTCCAAAGAAGTCGGTCAGAAGCAAGATCTATGAAATCTTACAGCGATCACGTAAAAAAGGCAATCACTGCATACCTGCACCCACAACTTAGCTGTAGGCAGACCTGCACGGACAGCCCCGTTATTGCCGATTCCCGCAGGTGCCATTCCCGCACCTCTCTGCAGCCTCAGCACCGGGGGATGCGGGAAGAACCGCTCACCCCCACTCAGCCCCAGCTCTCACAGCCCGCGCCCCGCAACCGGAGGGTGCCCCGATTCCCCAAGTCTGCCCGTGCCTAACCCGGGGTGAAGTGCGAATCTCCCCTAAAGGCTCCGGCTGGGAAACGCTTGCGTCTGGGGGAACAAAAGCAAGGACCCTTGCCCTGCACGCGGTGCTCGGCTCTGCGGGAAACGAGGAAAGCACTGAGAGAGGGGGAGGAAGCAACACGGAGGCAGCGAAGGGTGAATAACCATTTTTAAACGTGACTGTCACTTACTTATCCAGAATGAAGTAGAGATCAAAGGCGCCGTGACAGGAGCGCTGCTCTTCGTGTTCTTCCTCCTCCTCGGGCCGGGCACAGCAGCTCAGGCTCCCGCTCGCCAGCAAGAAGCAGCACAGAAGTGCCGCTCTCTCCACGCTGCTCCTGCCACTCGCCATTTTTTCCCTTCCTTAATTCTTCCTCCTTCCCCCCTCCCCCCCCCCCCCTCCCAGTCTGTCTCTTGAGAAGAGCCGAGGGAGGAGAGAGAAGAAGAAAAAAACAAAACAGGAAAAAAAAAACAACCAACCAAACCAACACAACACCCACACCACCAAACCGCTAACTTCAGGATCTCGGCTCAAGGCTGTAGAGTGCCCGCGGGCACCGGGCTGCGGCTCAAGGCCGGTGGCGGACTGGGGGCTGAGCCCGGCCGCAGGGTCCCCAGAGCCCCGTCCCAGCGACCCGCCACCCGCCCCGAGCTCGGCTGCGGCTCCGGCTCCGCACGGAGCGCAGCGGCTCCCTCCGCAAGGCCAGAGGCAGGAAGGGGCAGAGGGAGGGGAGCCGCGGGGGGAGACAGGATCTTATGGGGGAAAGCTGAACCGGGACTTTCCTGTTCCGGGATGCCGAGCGTGGAAAGGCTGCGGCGAGCGGGGCAGCGAGGGGAGGAAGAGAGAGCTGTGCTCCGACCCCGCCGCTGCCGCCCTCCCCCCCCCCCCGCGGTCACGAGGTGGGGGTCTACTTCCAGCATGCCCCCGGGACGAGCGGCAGAGGGGCTGCATAGGTGGAGCGGGGTGGAATATGTGGTAGTGGGAGTGATGAGCATCATCATTGCAAAAAGCTGTGAGAAACCGAGGAGGAGAAGGACGCGGATAGGGCACATGTGCAAAATTGAGTTGCGGAGTGCAATTGTAGTGGTGATTGCTGGGGGCCAGGGGTAGACAGGTTTTCACGACTCTCTCGTGTCACAGCAAGTTCCTTCGTCTCTGTGGCGAAAAGTTTGACTTAGTCGCAACTGTACCCTGCAGGCAATGAGGGTGATGAAACGAAAATCTCTTAATAGTGCTTCTTACGGCGGCATAACCCCACCCGCCCGGTTACAAGGCTCTGCCCCCAAGAGTCGCCCCGGCCCATTTAGATGCTGACTCCAAACTTTGCATAACCACTGCCTTCCAGCCGCTCTTCCCTCCCCCACTGCCGCTGCAGCTCTAATTAATGGAAAGAGCCACAGGGAGGGATGAGCGCAGAGACACTTTGCATGATGGACCCGGGACCATGACATTTCTCCCTATGTCTTTGAACACGATTCAAGGTCGAGGGAATCAGACCCCCCGTGGGGTACTGGCACGCTGCCCCGCCGGTCCTGCCCCAGAACACCCGTCGCTTTGATGGGGCCGAGGGGGGAGGGGGGCTTCGGCCGCGCCTCGCACAGTACAGCCGTTTTTAGGAGCAAAAAGTACCCTCTCCTCCCCGCGAACAGTCGGCATCCGAGGGGACGCGCGCTCTGGGATGACACAAAGCGACCCCAGGCCTTACCCTTGCCCCCCTCTCCCCTCCCCGCATGTACATGGGTGGGCGCGTAGCCCTCTCCCCGCCTCAGCTCCCCCCGCAGCACCCGCGTGCTTTGTGCGCCGTTGGCCGTTTCCCACGGGTCCAAAATAAAGATTGCTCAGCGGAGAGAGACTGAGCATCTCTCTTTCCCTTCTCCGTTCCTGGGCTGTGCAGGCACATCCGACCACGGTAGTGGTGGGGGACTTCACGAGAGAAGAGAAGGGGTCCGCAAGGTTTCAGCCGCTTGTCCAGCTGGGATTACGCACAGCTGCCAGCTGGACGCATGGCTCGAGCTTACCGCTTGAAAACTTTTGTGCGCTGGCCAGCTCAGCTCCAGCGATTACTTAGATCATGGAGAAATACAAGAAACCCACATCCTCTCTGGTGACATTCACCAAAAATGAGCAAGCAGCCTCTGGGCAACAGAAATCTTTTCCCCCTCTTTCCCCCTGCCCCCCACCTCCATCATGCTCTGGCTGTGCCGCAGTTCGGTTCCGGGGCACCTCCTGACAGTGCAGCGCTCCCCACATCCCCAGTACAGAGTATTGGGCTTCCAGATCCCATTTCAGATTCGGATTGTTTCGTAAAATACCATAGCAGGCTTCCAAGCAGGTTACAAAGAAAAATATGACCTTGGCTATTTTCTGATAATGTGCATTGTCCCTCATCTAGGGCCTCCACCGACTCGCTCTGCTGCAAGGCCCGACCCCGGATCGTAGAATCGTAGAATCACAGAGTATCTCGAGTTGGAAAGGGACCCACGAGGATCATCGAGTTCAACTCCTGGCTCCACACCCAATCACACAAAATTCAGAGCTGAGACTGAGAGTGTTGTCCAGTCGCTCCCTGAACTCCGGCACTTGGCACCGTGACCACTACACAGCATGTTCCATGCCCACCGCCTTCTGGTGAAGAACCATTTTCCCAGCACCCTCCCGATGCTCCCCTTGGAGGATCCGCACCTGCAGAGCATCGCTCTGCAGGGTACAGAGATCCGCTCAGCCCCTTCCTGAGTCCCAGGTAGCTGTTGGTTCAATAAAAGCTGCAAAAGTAGGAGCGCCAGAGATAGGGGCCGCAATTGGAATGGCTCAGCTCGGTTCCCTGACCACAGCCAGAAGGTGCTCTTTTGAGGTCGGTGGAGCTGCTCCCGCCTCTCTGGGACCAGTCCGAGGAGCGCAGCTCCGGCTCCAGTCCCCGCGCTGCGCGTGAAGCGTGGTTCAGGATCGGTGTGAGATTACTCGTTAATTGTAGCGCAAATCCGTTCTTTCAAAAGCATTACGGAGCTGACGTTTCTTTTCCCTGTACAGGCCAGTATTCAGATTACACGGACACTAATCAAATAAGCTGGGTTATTGCCTTTGTCAACATGTTCATAAGGATTTTCTGCCAGGCGTTAAAGGCATTTATATGGAACGACATCTTTCAAAAGCAATGTTGCCGTCCGGATTTGGGGAGTATTTGCTTCTGACAAGACGTGTGATGGCTGTATTTGCCATACCAGCTGTGCCATCAGCCGCTTCAAACCTCAGATTCCTCATTTTACATTCCCGCATTTTGCATCCAGCCGGTGCTCTCCGTGAAGCACCAATTTTCGCGTTTAAACGGTTCGCATCGATACGCGCGGTGCCCCAAACGGCACCGCAATCAGCAGCCGTGTCGTGCGCTGCGAAGGAGCACCGGGAACGAATCCAAAGGCTTTACCCTTTTTTTCCCCCAACTTTAAAAGAAAGTCCTCTTCCCAGCGAACTGTTACACCGGGGAACCCCTCCCACCTCCTGCTCGCGGCCTCGCTGCTACCCGGGGGGGTTCCGCGGGGGAAGCGGCGGGGCTCGGGAGAAGGGGGGGTCGCTTTGGGCGGGGAGCGGCGGTGGTGTCGGGGAGGGGGACGCGGCCGCTCCGGGGCGGTGCGCGGGGTGGGGTGTGAGGTGGGGGGGGGGCGGCCCTGGAGTGGGATGCGGGCTCCGCGGGGACGTGGCCGCAGCCGGCTGCTGGAGCGAGGGCTGAGCGGAGCCCGTGAGCGCGGAGAGGTGAGAGGAGTTGAGGTGGAGGGGATACGGGGGCGGGCCGGCAGGCGAGGGAGGGCCGGGGCGGCCGTGGTGCCGGCGGCAGAGAGCGTTCAGCGCGGGGCGAAGCGGGCAGCTGCCGTCGGGCTGCTCTCCTTGGCGGTAAGAAGGGGGCAAGGGGGGTGAAGCGGCTCTCAGACGGGAGTGGGCGGGCGGGCGGCCCCGAGGGTCCATGTCCCCGGCGGAGCTGTCCGGGCAGCGAGGTCGGGAGGGAGAGCCGCCGTCCTCAGCTCCTCCTCGGCAGCCCCGCGGAGCTCCGCTGCCTCCCGGCTCTTCGCCCCCGTCCGGACAGCTCGGGCGACGGCTGCCCCTTTGGTCTCTCTCTTCTTTCTTCTGACTGCGACGGGTCGGAGCCGTCGTGGCTTTGGGGTGCTTGGTTAGGGTTTGATCGCTTTAAGAAACAGATGAACTTTCTTTGGAATTTCTCTCCACACTACTCCATATTTCTACCCAGTGTAAAGATATCCATGCTCCTTAGCAGGTATTTCTTACTGGTTCCGTAAGTTAGAAACCGCTCTCGTCATCACTTGGAAATGTCACTTTGGTCTTCACGTTTATAAATCCTTTGTGAAAAGGTTTCTGTAGGAACAGAGTCGGGTACAAAGGGGGGAAGCATCACGTTTGCTCTGTGGTCGGATGGGTGCTACTGCGGGAGATGGCAGTGGCAAACGTCATGCGAGTTTTCACTAATTCTGTATTTTCCATGTAGCTGCTCTTAAATTAGAAGCATTTGCATTCGTGGGTTGAACTGGGGAATTTACAGATTCTTGCTGTGGAGATGTCCCCTCTTTCTGGCTTTCAATAAAGCCAGACGTAGTGCTCATAGCTCCACTTACTCTTCATTAGGTATCATTGCTAATAGAAAGAGGGATTTAGTCAAGCAAGAGAAAAACCGGAAGGTTAAATTTATGGTTTATTTTTTAGAAAATGTGTAAAGTGACACCAAATGGTTGTACGCTGTTTATGAGAGCACGTTTATGTGGGATTCAGGAACATCCCCTGTGTCAAAGCAAAGCAGTGCTCTGCAGAACTTGACAGAAATATCATCTTATTGAAAGAAAAAAAAAAGCTCCAAAGACATAGAAGCATTAAAGTCAAAATATTACTTTAACTTCTATTAACTGAGTGGGAGAGAACTAATAGTTCTAAATCTAATTTATATATAAATATAGTTCTAAATATAGAATATAGTTCTAAAATAATAATAATAGTAGCAGTAGTAGTAATAATAAAAATATGAAAATAGATTCAGTGTGAGGAATTATAAAGTGTATGGAAGATTTTGCAGAAGAAATGACTTACCCTAAATCGTGGCATATCATATGTGTGTTTTTCCATGTCTGTAATGCTATGAATCTGTTAATATGGTTCTTCTCCAGCACTTGTTACCTGTATTTGCTGTTAATAAATCAGCTCAAAGAACAAAGTGCTGTTATTTCGTGCAGCTGAAGAAATCTCCAGCATGAACCATGTGGCTACTCCTGAAATATTTATCTTGAAATGCAAATGGCAAGTATATAAAATTGCAAAAGATCCTACAGCTGTGCATGTAGCCATATGTACAACTGTGAGTGTGTGGCTGTATTTATGTGTATATGCACATGAACACAGAAATCAATATATTCGTTTCTTGTTGAGCACATATCACATTTTTTAAAAAATTGAAAGTTACCAAAAATAAATAGCAGGACTGTGAAATGAAAATGAACCATCCACGTCTTGCACAGCAACCAGATAAAGTCATTTCTTGTAATCTATGAAAAGGAGACATGAATTTGAATTGGATGGAGAGAGCAGAAATGGTTATTCTTTTCCCAAGTTACAGATGCTGTTGCTGTGTGGCTGTGGCGCATCAGTCTGGCTGCACTGGCTTGTGCTGGCTGCTCGCTTTGCAGTGTTCTCTGTCTGCAAGTGGGGAGTGGGGTTTTGTTTGCACGGATGCCCATGTAAAGACAAAATGCTCAGTCTCTGTGAGAACAGATGTGCCAGCACACACTGCCACAACCTGGGTCTCCCCAATGGACATAATAGCAGGGGAAAATTTGCATCATTACTTTTTCTGTTCTGCTT